GTACTCTCCAATCTTTTTTCATCTTTCTTTCATCCAATCTTTTTTCTCTTCCTTTTCATGGTGGGGATGACGTCAATTTCGAGCGAAGTGTAAGATAAGTTCAAACTCATGTGTAATGTCAACGTTAATGCCGCACCTGCAGCAGCGAGGAAGCGACTAACTTATTGATAGTGATCTTTTGTTTCTTGTCAGCTCTCTCTCACCTAATTCTTTTTGATCTTGATTTCTAAACTCTGCAATGCTTTTACACTCTCATTGCTCTCATTCTCATCACTTTCGGTTTTTGCTACATCTTGCCTTAGTTTATGGAATTAATCAAAGCAGAAAGTCCAGTTTTTGGAATAATGATACTAGTAATTATAACAAATAACGTACTATTCAATTTTTGTTCCAACTCAAATTTTGAGCATTGAGAATTCTTCGTGCAAATTTTCATGCTTTTACATAGCGAAATTGCCTAACTCAATCTGTAAAGGAAAAGAGTGTTCTCTTTCTTACCAAGCGTTTGTGGTTTAAGATTTGAGGACAGATACTTCACATGAGGGCCCAAAAATCAGTAAGGATCCATTTAGCTCACACAAGCAGTACTAATTTTTGAACATGGGCAGAAATAACAATTGCATTGGAGAACTGACGAATTGATGTACCTCACCAGAAGCGCCTTCGCCCGTTTCAAAGCTGCTTGCCTTATTTGCAAACCAATCTTCTACTTCATTGTTTGGAAAATAGTTTCGCATCATTGGCATCACGAAACATCTACGCATGACTGACATGAGTGAAAGTGAAAGGGGTGCTGTTTGACAGAGCAGAGCAAGCTCAACAAGAAGAAGCTCAAATATTCGCTGCAAGTTTGATTTACGTGAAGTTCTAAGCCAATTTAAAAAGCACTGAATGCTCGAAAGTCCGAAACAAATCGCATCTTTGTCCAAAAAATCCTAGGAATAACCAACTTGCTCACGTTTATAATGTCTATTTGAAACACTCTGCACAATTTCTTGAATCATAACTAAAAATCGACAAAGAGGAGTTTAGCATGCTGCCAATGCAGTCCTAGTTTCTTCCAGATGCAGATTTTATCCGAAAAATGTTGTGGACGCAGATATGATTCTCCATTACATATTCTGGCTTAAAACTTCAGGTGGAACGAAGTTTTCGCGGATGTTTGAATCAGTCTTGTAAAGCCTGCATTGCTTTATCACACGCTATGTATTCATTCTTTTCGTATCTATTTTGCCGCGGTAGGGTCAGTTATTACGTTGTAGGTATACGTTTATATAAATACTAGCTGTCGTACCCGGCCTTGCTCGGGATAACATCACTTAGGGTTCACTGTCTTTGGATATATGTGACACTCAAAGCAGTGGTAGTGTATCATTGAAGTTTGTTTGCAAAAATAAAAATAAAATGTGTACACTTTTACTCAACAGCATTGTCTCTCTTCTTTTTGAAACATGGAAGACGTGAAAAAACTTGAAGAGCAAGCATTGCGATATAGGTGGACGAACGTTCGAATAATGTAGCGCCCATTGCTATCCTGAGGATCATTTTTCCTAGTACTTCGCCGCTAATCGGTTATTCTATTTTAACTCCCGCACTCTACCCTCCTCTCCCGTACTACGACAAAAGTAAGTGCTTCTTTGACTGTCCTTGCTTTAGAGAGCGAATACCTTTATAGCCAAGCAACAGCCATTCTACCACGTTAAAGATATGTAATCCACAACTTGTGAGCCATTTGGATAACAGATTAATGAAAAAAAAACTCAAGGACTTCAGTCAATAAACAAAATTATGATGTAAGCTTTCAGATTGAGAGTCACGCTCATGCGGCTGGAATTCATGTCGGAGGTTCCAACGCTAGAGTGTGGCACGCAATTTGAGACAGCTTGTAACTTAGCGATTGGCTCACATCTGCATCAAAAAAAGGCTTTAACTTGCGTTAACAACACTACTACCTCGCACCGCAAAAGATGCATCTCGCAGTTTTAGACAGAATATATAGGATCTACATCTGAACGCTTTCGACCTTGCTTTGATGACGAAAGTTCACAATGGATCGTACTGCTCTTGTTTACGTAAATGTAGGAATGGTTCGGCAATAGCTGCTGATAAGCTTCATTCCCTTACTGAGAGGTCAACAAATCAATAAATCGATAGAAGGACCCAGCGAATTGTCGAAAAAAGTAGCCTATCTTTTGCGCCGTGGCTTGTTTATAGGGAAACAAAATTCAGCCTCTTTGGCTCACATACAAAGGAGTCTATAAGCCACAAACATCCTAACAAACACGGTACAGTGTTTGAGTTTTATATATATACTAGCTGCCGTACCCGGCCTTGCCCGGGATAACATCACTTAGGGTTCACTGTCTTTGAATATATACTCAAAGCAGCTCATTGAAGTTTGTTTGCAAAAATAAAAATAAAATGTATACACTTTTACTCAACAGCATTGTCTCTCTTCTTTTTGAAACATGGAAGACGTGGAAAAACTTGAAGAGCAAGCATTGCGATATAGGTGGACGAACGTTCGAATAATGTAGCGCCCATTGCTATCCTGAGGATCATTTTTCCTAGTACTTCGCCGCTAATCGGTTATTCTATTTTAACTCCCGCACTCTACCCTCCTCTCCCGTACTACGACAAAAGTAAGTGCTTCTTTGACTGTCCTTGCTTCAGAGAGCGAATACCTTTCTAGCCAAAGCAACAGCCATTCTACCACGTTAAAGATATGTAATCCACAACTTGTGAGCCATTTGGATAACAGATTAATGAAAAAAAAACTCAAGGACTTCAGTCAATAAACAAAATTATGATGTAAGCTTTCAGATTGAGAGTCACGCTCATGCGGCTGGAATTCATGTCGGAGGTTCCAACGCTAGAGTGTGGCACGCAATTTGAGACAGCTTGTAACTTAGCGATTGGCTCACATCTGCATCAAAAAAAGGCTTTAACTTGCGTTAACAACACTACTACCTCGCACCGCAAAAGATGCATCTCGCAGTTTTAGACAGAATATATAGGATCTACATCTGAACGCTTTCGACCTTGCTTTGATGACGAAAGTTTACAATGGATCGTACTGCTCTTGTTTACATAAGTGTAGGAATGGTTCGGCAATAGCTGCTGATAAGCTTCATTCCCTTACTGAGAGTGCAACAAATCAATAAATCGATAGAAGGACCCAGCGAATTGTCGAAAAAAGTAGCCTATCTTTTGCGCCGTGGCTTGTTTATAGGGAAACAAAATTCAGCCTCTTTGGTTCACATACAAAGGAGTCTATAAGCCACAAACATCCTAACAAACACGGTACAGTGTTTGAGTTTTATATATATACTAGTTGGCAAACCCGGCTCCGCCCGGGCCTGTCATTATTATATTCGTAATCAGCATGCTCGATTACCCCCCTGTGCCAACTCCCAGCCCTGTAGCTCAAATTTTGCAAAAAATCGATAAAATCGATATCGATCGATAACGAAAAGTAGCCTATGACACGCTCCCTGCCCCGAAGTATATGTGTGCCAAGTTTGGTCCCGATCGGTTCAGAAATAAAAATTTCTATTCCGCACATACGTACAGACAGACAGACAGACATACATACAGACATTCAGCTTTATATATAAGATAGATAGATAAATCTGCTGCAAAAAATAATTTTTTTACTCTCTCTTTAGTAAGATGAGACCTGAAAGACCTTTGGCTGCAAAGCAAGAATTCGAGGAAGTAAAAAATCCGTGTTGAACATTTTTCTTTACAAACTTTTCTCGTTTACCATAGATAAGATTTGCTGAACGAACCTGACAACAACTAAACAGCTGACTAGTAACTTATGATGGCACTGTCATGGTTTATACTTGCTCTCTCCCTTTTTCCGACTATTTAACACATTGACGACACCGTGACCGCCCTGTTTTGGTATGAATATTTCTGAAAGATTTCTTAGCGCTGGATCTAAAATTGACTTCCACGTTTCTCTGCAGCCTCTTAGCACTACGTTAGCTATGCCGTAAATAACAGTTTGCGTGGTTCTAGGTAAATCTCAATGTGTCCATGAAAGGCTTGTCCCACAAGGCAGAAAAGTAAAAATGCACGTTGTTGTCATCGTGTTGATGCCATTTTCTCAAAAGTCGGTGGAGTAAGACTTTGTCGCGACACGTACTCGAGTTTTGCATCTTTGAATTTCTAAATTTTTGGGCGGGTAATACATAGATGGTTTTTTTTTTCAATCATAGGAATCTCTTTGCTATTCCGTTAGTATTTGGCAGTAATTCTGCGGGAGCTATAGTATTCTACCATTTCGAAATCTTCCATCTTTTACCTGTTTGATTTTCCATTCAAAAGTTTCAAATTCTCTCGGTATCCCCAGGGAATAAACGAAGCAAGGAAATTCATAGAGTAGAATAAGACTTCAGAAGCACATGCACTTTCTACTGAAATTCACACATAATATTGCGAAAAATTTGAGTTCAGGCGATAATTTTATTACAAGCAATCTAAGAAGAGATTGGTATCCGGCCTGTTATGTTGGGGATCCGACTGAAAGTGTGTGGTGGTTAACCCGTTGACGACAACGCCTAATTTTGCGTGGCGGCGCTGAGGGACGACGCGATTATGCATAACATTTTCGGCGTAGGAAAGTTTGTGATTTTTTACGAAATCTAAAGTTGTTTTGTGAACAACTACAATCATATTCTTGGACGAGGAAGTCTACAGGTTCAAGCAGTGCAAAAATTGGAACAAATACTAAACTGCGGAAAAATTACTAGACCTAGAAAGTACATGATTCTGCAAGGGGTGTGGGCCACCGGTGGTCCACATCGTCCCTGGCGGCAAAAAGTGTGTGGGCCACCGGTGGCACACATCGCCGTCAATGGGTTGAGCGGATCGGAGCGATTAGGCTTGCAGTTTAGATTGTCTACCCTCTAACTCCCGCACAGAATGATTATACGGTGAAATCACGTTATCAAGACTATATAAACGTCTTTTGTAGGTTTCACAACCATTTTTTATAGTGTTTGAGCGCGAATGCTCGTAAGAGTCTTCGTTCATGGCCGTTACACATGTGATCTTTGACTTCGATGGCCTTCTCGTTGACACCGAAAGCTGCTATATAATTGCTAATCAGATATTATTTCGGAAGTTTGGCCTTGAATTCACAGATGAGCATAATTCAAGTGAGTGTGCTTGATTGTAAGACTTGTTGGATTGCTTACGAATATTATCTTCCAGTAATCATGGGCAGAAAAGAGACTGAGGGATTTCCTGATCTCATAAAAGCGGTTAGTATGACAGATCTCAACGGAGCTTTCAATCGCTTATTTCTAGGCTGGTTTGGCGGACAAGATCACCTGGAACGACTATTTGGCACAATTTGATGCTGAGCTATTGAATCTTTTTCCCACTTGTAAAGCGATGCCTGGCGCAGTAAAGCTAGTGCGGCACCTGACCAAAAAAGGTACTAAGCAAATGAAGCAGACAATGCAAATATGCCACCGCAGCAACGCAGACACAATGCACTTGAGTGACAGAGTTTGCGCCCGGAGTTGCCCCGTGCCAGCGCCGTTCTAGCGCCGTGCTTAAGTCGATAAAACAATATGCAGCGCGCCCCAGTGGGTTCCGGCACGGCAATGCAACGATGAAGAAATGGCGCTGGCACAGCGGTGGAAAGCAGCACTGACTCTCAAAGTAATTGCACGCTAAGGGTGCAGCTGTCTCAGACGCCGCAACTAACTAGTTAAACTTTACTTCTCCAAAATGGTTAATTTTGAGGAATTCCCACAGCGATATGCTCAGGATCCAGGATTGAAACATGGCCAGCACGAAGAGAACCTCATAAAGAATGGTTAGATCTTATTCCTATAAAGGTAAGATCGGAGGCATATGAATAGCAGAACCAGTGGGAACCTCGCGAAGCACAGCACACAACCTCGTCTAATTATACTAGTACTGGTGCTAGTATAATTAGACGAAAAGCGTAGAGCAAGGCAAATGCTGTGTGCGATTGACTACTTTGTTCCATCCAGGTTGAATTGCTACTAATAAAGTACTAGATTTCAGTTTTTCTGCGGCAAGTATCCGAACATTCGAGGCAAACCTCATCCGGATCCATTCCTGGAAACCATGAAGAGGTATGCTATACTGAGCAAATTGAATATTTTACCCGCCAAATTGTTGAAATTTGAGGTTTCCAGTTCAACCCAGCGAACCTAGTAAAGTACTTGTTTTTGAAGATTCTCCAAACGGAGGTCGATCGGCTAAAGCAGCTGGAATGAAATGCATTATGGTACCTAGCGAAGCGAACCGAAAGGAAGCACTCGCTATTGGGTACGATTGAGTTAGGCTCTTTGCAAACCACATACGGCTAAGTATTTTTCTAGTGTTACGCAAGTACTGCACAGCCTTGAAGAATTCCAACCTGAACAATATAGTCTTCCGCCCTATGATTGATACAAGTCAGATTTGAAAGTTTTTACTCATAATAATTGTCACAAAAACAATCACGATTATAAAGATTTTAAGAGGAGACACGAAATTCAGCTTTGGATTGGGTTGTTATGGTCAGTCAAAGCAACGCGACCTCCTCAAAACAAAACCCTGTTGATTGAACATTAATGTTGAACCGTTCTTGATGACTTTCCCTCCCGAAATGTCAGTCTTGCATTAAAGGCAGCAGTTCGCCAGAACCGAACATCCCGAAATTTTGACGTGGAAGGTTGCTTGCACCCCAAACATGAGAATAGAGCAGGTCCGAACGCCTAGTGCTGCCTTTGCCTAGAAAACCCCGTTCGCGCAAGCCATTCTAATACACGCGGACAAGCTTGCGATTCTCTCTGACCCGTCAGAGAAGGCATGTCGCAATATTATAGTGAGGGTCCACGATTCTACCTCTCTAGCCATGGTGGGACGTGCTGCGCTCGTCCAAATTCAAAACGGGAGGCCCTTCGAAATGGTAATTTTTGCCATTTTCGCGCTCTTCAAGGTGGATCTTCGGAATCAGCGCCTCGAATTACCCCCAAGAAAGCGAAAAAAACTTCAAGTCGAAAATCTGCCGAGCCACTGCTTTCAAAATGAAACAATCCCTCAGTGTTGCGTCTCGCGATGCAAGGAGCTTCTCGGAACACGGAGGCCGGGAGCGAGGTTGCTGCACTATCCTTCGACGATTACGGTAGGCGATACGTTTTGCCGGCGTCTCCTTTGAACCCCTCCTTTGTTGGCCCCGGGCACTATAGACAGCCCCTCCTGCACTTGCGCCCTCATCGAATCATTTAAGTTCTGTTACAAAATGTATCTCAGCCGCGGACTCCTAAAAAAAGCAGTAGCAGGATGTCTTTCAAATTGAAGGATGTTTTGGATTTTATTATTAGGTCGCGTTATTGTAAAGCTGAATCGGAATCAAGGTCAAACTCGAGAGCTAAGGGAGCAGCTGAGGCAGATGTGGCGATGTTCCAAGACTTGTCGTCGCGCGGTGGAATTGCTCTGAAGCTACTTGAAAGCCATATGACGTGAGAAGTTATGATCGCGCATCGATATCACGGGAGGGCCCTCGTTCCGTATTTGTTAGATTAATTAACAGGTTTAACAGCTGTAAGTAGCAGTTAACAGCAGTATCCGTTCAAACGTTTAGAATTTCTGGTATTCCTAAAAGGAAAATAGTCCACACCAAAAAGTAGATCTTGGAAGACTCTTGGGAGCGTCATCGGGATACCATTCGAAAGGAATTCAGATAAAGATTGCGGTAGTAAGACCATATAATTTGCTTTGAGAACAGAAACGTATATGCAAAAATATCTTTGTAGAGAACACTTTGTGTATCTCATTGAATTTTTAGAGGTTTCGATAGCTCATTCAGATTGACTTTTGCGCAGAAAATGACTTCTATATCTTATTAAATTAACTAAGTTGTTATTAGTTGTTGTTATGTTCTAAGCTACTCTTTTGCGTGTTGTGTAGATAATCATTTGTGATTTCCTTTCATGTGAAACTCAACTCATACGTTGCTATACCAAATCACTTGAAGTTTATTTTGCGAGTTTCTGATTTAAACGACGCATAGACCTTCAGAGCATCCTCCTGGGCATTTCGAACATGGTGCACCTGTTTCGTAGATTTTGGCATGAAGCATGTTTCCTCTAAAATTGAAGTCTTGTTGGTGGCTTACTGAAACAACTCTACTTACGCTTTTTTATAATTGCAGACTGCTAAGGTCATTCTGGGGCAGGTTTGAACAGCGCAACCAATGACTTTTGTAGACTGCCAGACCATCTGAATCTATGTATTTAAGAAACCACGACATTGTCTGAGATCATTCCTGCTACTAACAACAAGTAAGCAAAGACTCTTCAACGTAATTGAGAAGCTTTCAAGATGGCGCAAAGCAAACGCATTGGGAAGGGTATAGTTTATCTGCATTGGTGCAAATCTAATGCTGCGACTGCTTTTTGGGTGCGGGGTGGTGGTGGCTTTGTAGGAAGAACTAGGATATTGTATTCTCGGTGATGGGAATGCAGAAACTGTTTTCACCTGTGTGTAATGTCCAACTTTATTGTTGAAGAGTTTCATGCTGAAGGTGAGGTCTTTGCCAACTCCGTGTTGTGCAAGCTCCCCAAACCATGATCTTGAAGCCTGTAATGATAGAAACGAGTTGCTTTCTTTGAGCGACAAGCAAAATGGCATTATTCACATCTTCGGCAGCTTTTACTGGGTCGTACGCCGAGCCGCGCATGTAGATGTTTTCTCCAAGATCTTCAGTATTTGAGTGCTGGAAGACACATTTAGCAGCGTGTTTCACAGCGTATTTCTCCACATCGCAGTCGTACTTCTGGAATATCTCGCTAATACTTGCTACCTATCATCAATGTTGCCAGAGAAAATACCAATTTGTTCATGGCAGCAGCTTTAGGAGCATAACCTCCATAACCGTCTTTAGCTTTTCCATTAGCCACCAGCGATCTGCATGCATCAGATGTGAACTCGTAGAAAGCGAAAAATCCTCATTAGATATCTCTTACCTTAG